CAAACTCTTACTAGGTTTAGTAGACTTGTAAGATGTTTGCTTACAGTATGTATAGATAGTTTAATCATTATAACTGCATTGTACAATTGTTTGTTCGTGTAACACGTTTATAACTTGATGTAGTTAATAATAATATTATTAGCATTGTAGTAATGCATTGTCTGTTCTGTGTACTGTCTGTTCTGAATGTCATCCACTTTGTGTTAAGTTTGTCCAATGTTATATTGATTAAGTATATTTAATTAGTTTGTTCATTTGTAATATACTGTTCAATAACAGCATTGTTATCATAATAGATTGTTTGTAAATGTTATTAAATAATTTGTAAATGCTTCAGAGACCTGCAGAATCTTGTTAGCATGTGTAGGTATGTATATGTGCATATTTAAATTATAAATACAATTGCTTGTTTCGTTTTATTGTTTGTTATTCAGACATATTGTTTGTTATTAAGTTTGTTTGAGTACTCTAGTAATTTCCTTTTTACTTCACTGTGAAACTAATAAATCATGCTAGTAAAATGTATATTTGATATTACAATAATATCCTTCTTTAATCATTACTGTCTGCATTCGTCTACGTTTGTATATGTGTTAAGTATTCAGCAATAGCTGATTTATGTCTTCAGATTGAAGCATCAGATCAATTGTATATCAGTAATAATATTTGTTTTTGCCAGATTACTTCATTCTGAGATTAATAAGGTTTTATACTAACATATATTTGTTGCATAGATGTTATGTTTGGCCACAGGCATCTTACTATGTGTCTAAGTGTATCATATATGTATTATATCATGAATGTACTGTTTGTTCATTTGCTTTACATTATTGTTTATAGTTATGTATTAATTTATTAACATTATGTTTGTTAATTGATTGTTTCTGATGCATCCTGAGTAACTATACAATCTGTTGTGTTGTTTCTTTAATAGCCAACATAGTTATCTGTTGTAAATCATTTCTATTGTGTGTTTGTATTATTTATCATTAACAATGTTATTGTGAATTGTTACAATCATAGTATTGTGTATATATATGTGTATGTTATAGCTATTGTTCTTCACTTTTTCTTTTGCAAAGAATAATGTATTGTAACACAATCTGCATATAAGTAATATATCAGATTATGTTTACTATAATTGTCTTCTAGCATTCTTTAGTTAATCTAGTGCTATACACAATTGTAGTATTTGTTCAATGTTTTATTTGTTAATTGGTTTGCTAGGTAAAACGTTTTATATATTAGTTTTGTTTATTTTATTTGAATCATCATATAGGTATACCTTTTAATATCTATCCAATGTAATTCATAGTGTTATAATACTGTTCACACTTGTATTAATTACACAGTGAGGACAAATTAATTGTTCATACAAGAATCAATTTAATAGTTTTATTTAATTATATGTATGTACTCCATACTTGTTTATATAGTTATTATCTGTGTATTGTTTGGTTGTAGTTGTGAATTATATTGCAATTATATTCGTATTAATGTATGGATATATTATTTATTGTTTTATGTACGTTCTGAAGTATTATTTTCGTTATTCATCACTTTTATCTATGAACTATAGTCTGGATTAGTGAATTATTTCATTATATAATGTGATAATTGTCTGTATATTATTTATTTTCGTATTAAACACTGTTAAGTTAATTATATTATTATATTAATATTATTTGCCAAGTATGAGCATTTGTTTTGTAGTAGAATTATTATTTATTTAACATTGAAGTTCAATTGTGTATTATGTTGACTTCTGTTATTTAGTTCTGATCAACATAGTTTTGCTTTGTACTGAATGATTTACCTTTATGATTTGTTATGTCTGTCTGTAACTTCTATTACTTAGTCAGTACTTAGTCTGTACATTTTGTTATTCTATTTTTTGTAGTGTCTATAGTGTTATACTTTCTGTTCTGTTGTTTATATTTAGTTATTAATTGTTTGTGCATATTATCCATTTTCTCCCCTTCAATTCAAGAAGGTATTTCTTTGAAGAATTGGATATTTCTTTAACATTTATTAATTGTTGTTATAATATAATATTTATATATAATAATTGTAATTGCTTTCATGGTTTGATTTCTAATTATTAGTATTTTAAAGTAGTGCATAACATTTGTTATGTTCTATAATGAGTAATTTAAATGTTATTACTATTATATTTTTGATACTGTTAACATTTGTCAACTTATATAATGTGTATTTTGTTTGTTATAGTAGATAGGTACATATTATGTTACAAGTTATGTGTGTGCTTGTTATCTTTTATTAATAATTGTTTATAACTATGAATAAATATTTTGTTTTTGTGTTGAAAACATATGGTAATTTGTTTGTTTTTGTATAATATTCATTTAATAACATTGTAATTATTATTTATGTAGTGCTTTTAGTAAATGTGCTGAGTTCTATTAAGTATGCTTGCATCCATTATTACCTATTTTATATTATACTGTCTAAGATAATAGCTTAAACATTTTATTAATTTATTTAATCATATTATATTATGATTGTTTTCAATTGTAATTATTATAATAATGTGTTCGTAATTGTTATATTTGTATTATTCGTTGTAATAGCCTTATCAGCTTAATACTTTGCTCCTACAAGCTATGTTGTCACAATGTAAAGTTAATAATTGTTTGTTAAGGTATATATGCTGTGTAGTTAATGTTACTGTTACAACTTCGAAATTTATTATATAATCAGCTGCTGTGATAACACGTTCTGTATAATTAAGTTGTATTGATGTGTTGTTTTGAGTATATTAGAGATATAATTCTTTCGTTCGTCATTAGTATACATTTACACAATTGTATTAATGTGTAAAGTAGTATCATTTGTTTAATAGTTATAATTTTTACACTTGTTTTGTGCCATAATCAGTATTTATGCATTATAACATTATTCTTTTGTACATAGTTAGTTTATACACTCTGTAGTGTTGTTTTTGGTTTGTAGTTATTCATTATACTTTTGTATATCTGTACTTGTCTGTATATCTTAGATATGTGTATTATATTCAGTATCTGATAAGTAATTACAATATCTGACATGTAACTACTGAATCCAATATGTTACATATAATCACTCAACCATTATATGTGTTAGTTATTATATTGTTCTGTATTTGTTCTGTTAGTTCTATCTGTATTATTATCATTATTATTGTTATTATTATAATTATTAGAGTGTCTGCAATTGTATTATTGTTTATAATACATGTTAAATGTTTTATTTATTCGATTTAATATACTGTTTAGCATATATGCACTTGTTTTGAGCATTAATCATTCAGCTGTGATATTACTATATGTGTTATTATTTGATTTATACTATAACATATGTGTGCTTGTTGACAGTGTCAATCATTTGTACTATTGTAATGTTAATAGCAGAAGAGTAGTGTTTGCTTTATTAATCTTTTTAACATTTGTCTGTAGTATGATTAGTTAATTTACTATAACATGATCTCTGTGATATTATAGAATATTTTAGCATTTAAGTGTTGCAGTTAGTGAAACTCATCATAGTTTCAACATTGCCTGTATAGATTATGTTACTACTGGGCCAATAATCATAATCACTAAGATGACAATCATATAATGTCTGGGTTGTATGTAGTATGGTAGATTGTGTGTCTACATGTATTGATTTGCATTTAGGATACTCAGACAGGTGAGTCAAGTTCTGTG